CGCGTTACGATCGCGCACCGTATCGCGTCCGTCCGCGATGATGAAAATAGTCTCGCGACGTGAAATGGTCGGCTTGACGGTCGATGTTGCCGTTATTACCGAGCAGATGCTCGATCTTCCCAACCATCAGTCCTCCAATTCGCGAATCTAGATGCCACGAGAGCCCGCGTCGACGTTTTCATTTTCTCCTTCCTGCCTTCATTTTTTTGCAAAGAAAGCAGAGGAACGGGACGGGAGCAACTGGGATGACTGGCTGTAAGCGCGACGCGTCTTACAAATGCGGGATTATGCGGAAAAAAAGTGCCGGCCGTCCGCATAAGCGCAGCAGCGCGAGTCGTTTATTCGCGCCGCGCCGCGCCGCGCCGCGTCGCGCCGCGCCGCGCCTCGACGACGGACGACTCGGTGGCGCGTTTACGCCTGGCGGATTAACCGGGGAAAGCTCGTTCTCTAGGAGCGCGGTTTAAAACGGTACTTACGTATCTCTCTCGCAAGCGCGCTGGCACATTTTTGGCACGCGACTCGCCCGCCGCATCTGCGCCCGCTCCCGCGCCGCCCTCTGTCGCGGCTGAGAGAGCCTGCGAGAGCGCTCTCCGCGCGCGGAAAATCGAATATCTCGTTTTGCGCGGACGTATTTAGTCCAAGAGCATCGCTTTTTCGATAACCCGCGTCACCCTTCGCTACGCAGCAGCGCTTCCTCCCCCCGCCGCCCCGAAATTCAGTCCTCAACGCGGCGACGCGTCCGTGTACTTTCGCGGTTTCCTATCGCGGCTGACGCGACATTCTCCGGCAAATTCGCCCGCGTTCTTCGCGACGAGGATAGCAAACGCTCGGCAGAAGAGAGATCGTTCAGCGGCGATATCGATATCCTCCGTGATCCTGTGGTCGAGTCTGCCATCTCGATCTCTCGTACGAGTCACTTTTCGCGCTATGAAGCTTTCCAAATATTGTAGGACTATATGTATGAAATTTCGAGTTGCTGCCGAGTGACATGTGCATCCGGCGGTCCTCTTCTGTTATCGATCAGTTGTGTTTTGTCATCGATCAATTGTCTTTTGCCATTAATAAATTCTCTTTTGTCAACTCTTCTGACAAGAGAGAACCGGATACTGGATATGGATGATAAAACGACGAGGGCTCGCGGCGAGAGTCGGTCGGTCCTCGTCCGGCAGTTAAGTGAAACATTACGAGTTAAATAACGAGTTCAAAAATAAGAAAAATAGCCTGCAAGCGTCGTCGTATTAAGCGGCCGACACCACAGATGTCGCGAATGAGTGCCGAGTACCGTGCGCGATACCGTCGCCGAGTATGACCGAGCTTCACGCACCGGCTGGGAGAGGAAGTCGCGCGGCAGAGGGTTAATGGAAACGAAGTGAAGGATTATTATACCCCTGCATCGTTCAGTCCCCCCAAAATATCCTTCCGCTCACGGCGCTCCCGCGGCGGGGGAGGCCGCCGCTGCTGAAGAACGACGACGGGCGGCCCTCTTCGCTGCCTGCCGGGCTGCTCGGCAGCGCACGCTCGACCCGGAGAGCAATGGAAGATGTCCGCGGATACGTGCGTACGTACGCATGTATATGCATACATACGCACCCTACCTGCCTCATTAGGCGTCAACAATGGCATAACAAATCATGGAGATTACCATCTCGTCTGCTCGCGGCCGCGTTCGGCCGGCCGACCGAGCGAGCGAGCGACCGACCGACCGACCGACCGACCGGCCGAGTAATGCGTTTATAATTATTTTAAATCACATTTTTTCTTTCCCCTTCACCCCCTTCTTCCCCCGCCCCCCTCCCCGCCTCGTTGCTTTCATTCCGTTTCGTTCGAGGCACAGACGCGCTTCCGTCCTCCGCGCGCTCGCCGCCCCCTCCTTCGCTTCAACGTTCTCTTTTACTCTCCCTCTTTCCTCTCCTCCCCCCCCCGCCTCTCTCTCTCTCTCTCTCTTTCTCTCTGTCTCTTTATTATTCGCTTGCTCCCTCCTGCCCTCTCGCTCCTTCTTTCTCTCCCTCTTTCTCTCACTTCTTCCCCTCCTCTGCCCCGCTCTACGCGTTGTTCGTGTTTCGAATGTAAGCAGAGCCCCCGCTCGTAATTTTATGCGCCGCCAGCGCAGATTCTTAAGCGATATGGAAGAGACGTAAAGTATAAAGTGCGAAACGTGCCTGTTGTGTGGTTTATCCGTACGGCTGCGTTTATGTCGCGGACGTAGCTACCATACATAAGTGCAGCAAGGAGGATTCGCCGGAAGGCTCTCTCTCTCTCTCTCTCTCTCTCTCTCTCCCTCTCAAACACGGAAAGAAAAAGACGCGGATACATCGCGAAGGCGGTTTTTCTCTTGATGCACGCGCGGTCTCCAGCGTGCCACGTGAGCGGCTTGAAGGTGGACCGTTGTTGCAGCGAGTTCACCTCGGATCCTCAGCAAATTAATGATAACGACAATTATCGCGTTGCAAAGGGATTACCATTCGATCGACGTCGCCTAATGCGGACGGAGTGTCCGCTCCACCATCGGATTTCCGCACGCAGCCGAATCCCCGGCAGTCGCCGGATTCCTCGTTAAAATTATCTGATCTGAGCCGTCTCGCGGCGGGGCGGGTCGGGGCGGGGCGGGGCGGAGGAGATACGCGACGATCGGGAATCGCGAGAGCGGTGTGTGTCGCAATGCGGTTGCGTCCCGCGACACTGCGATCCCGATCATAAGAACAGAGACAGAGACGGAGGAGGAGGAGGAGGAGGGGAGGGGGAGGGGAGAGAGAAAGAGAGGGAGAGAGTCGCAGAGGCCAATAAATATTCCATAATTTATTGGCAAGGCCGCGGCGCGGCGCCGTTGCCGTTCGCCGTCCGCCTCCTCGTACGTCTCGCGCGGCCCGCGGGGGAATCAAAGAGCGTTTCGGGTGTTGTCAGCGCGCAGCCGGGCGGCCGTGTGGCGCAGGAAGCCTCAAAGAAAACCGCTTCCACAGCGAGCCGCGGGTTTCCAGGTAGCGAGCGGACGGCCGGACGGGCTACGGCGCGGCGGCGGCGGCGGCGGTGTCCGCCGCGAGGGAGATTCCAATCAACGAGTTTTTGCGCGCCGGCCTACGAAAACCGGCTGTAATCTCTCGCGGATATGGGCGGCCGGCCGGCGTCGTCGATTCTAAACGGGCCCGCGCGCCGCGTTAATTGAACGTACGCGGCACGCGCGCGGCCGATCGCCGATCAATTAACGCGCGCGATCGCGCGACGCATTAAGCAGCGGTATGTGTGCGTGCGTGCGTGCGTGCGTGCGTGCGTGGTGTGAGTCGACCTGTCGACGCGCTCCGGTCTTCTGTCGTGCTCGCGCCTCGCGCCTCGCGGCGGCGGGGCGCCCAAAGTCCAGGCGCAGTTAGTCGCTCACTTTGGGGGGATGCGCGCCGCCACTCTGATCGCCCCGCGTCGCTTATTACTCTCTCGTTATTACTTCCATTGTCATTTCTCTCTCGTGTTTCGGAATTAAAAATTCCACATTCCTTCCTCGCTTTCCCCCTCCGCGGAGATTCGCGGGATCGACTCTGTCGATGGAATCAATGGGCATTTTTGCAATACCGTCTCCCAGATGACGGTAAACGTTGATTGTGAATGCTATATCGCGGTCGTGTACATTGCGACACGTTACTTCTGAGCGAATAACGTTCGCGACGTTATGTTTACCGTATCTGAGGAGACGGCGTTGCAAGAACTGCCTGATATCGCGCCGTGCCGGATCGGCAGAAACGCCGGTGACTTTCGCTCAAACGGAGGATATATCGTGTTCAATGAACCGATTACGCGCGTCGTCTCGTGCTCCGCCCCGCCCCGCCGCGCCGCGCTGCGCCGCGCCGCGGCAACGCGCGCTCATCGCATTAGACTCCCGCGGATATCGAGCGGCTGACGTTAAGAAGCACGAAGCCGGTAAGCGTAATGAGCTCTCGCACGTGGGAAAGATCGACGGGAAGGCCGACGCTTACGAGCGCATTATCGACGCTCGCTCTCTCTCTCTCTCTCTCTCTCTCTCTCTCTCTCTCCTTCCTTGCCCCTCTTCCCGCGTGCAGCCCGCTCGAAGCCAGCTCGAAGGGCTCGCGGGGTTTCTGATTCAGCGTATGAAGCGCGTTGGTTCATCACGCGGCCGCTCTAATGGTTTCATTACATACGCGCGTGATAAGGTCGCGTTTAGCCGCCGACGGATGGGTGAGATCGTCTTCCTGGTACAAGGGAGAGAGAGAGAGAGGAGGGAGAGAAACGGCGAGTGCAACAACTCTCCGATCCGCGGAGAGTACTCGGCAGCTGACTCGTGCGCAGCACTCCGCGCGCGAGTTTTCCTAACGGATGATCCTTGCTCGCAGGAAGAAGTGACCGCGTGGGCGGCTGGACTCGATAAAGCCGTCGCGCGCGAGGATCGCGCGCGGCCATTAATGTAACTGTATCGGCGATTACTCTCGCGGGGGGAAATCGCGGCGAAAACGCTAATCGCCGTTCAAGGGACAGGTTCCTCTTGGCGTCCTTGGCGCACCACGTATATGTGTGCTTGTCCCGTCTGGGCGTCTGTTACGCATCGAAATCGTCTCTTGTTTCGCGAGGACCGGGAGACCGTCTCACGCTGTCGAGACTGTCGAGACACGTGAACGATCGCGAGAGGAGCGAAACGTAACCTTCTCTCGCACGTCAGACGAGATTTCCCTTCGCAGTCGTTGCTTCTACTTGTGTTGCAAAGTGCAGGGACAGAGAAAGAGAGAGGGAGGAGAAGGTAGGGAAGGAGAAAGGGAGAAAACTTAAAAGAATCTAACGCGTCATAGAGATTTCGACGCGCGTGTATTGCGTTCGACGACTTCTCTATCTCGGACATGAAGGATAACGGCGAGCCGTCCGAGTCGTTAGCATAAATACCTCGCGTCAGTTTCCGCGCGACTGGAGGAAGAAGATGTCGAAGGCGGCGGTCGAGGAGCCAAAGGCGAAGAGGAAGCAAGCTCTACCACCGTGGATTAATTTCTTGAACGCTGGGCTCTCGGGGTAATGCGTACCGGGCTACGGGAGAGGGTTGGAGGGGAGGGTTGAATTTTCGGCGCATCGCCCGCGTTATCCGTCGTGACCGAGTCGCTCGCTACGTTTCAGCATGGCGGCGACCTGCGTGGTGCATCCGATGGACGTGATAAAGAACCGGATGCAAATGCAAAAGGGAAAGGTCTCGATTTGGAGTCTGATCGGCACGATTTACAGCAAAGAGGGCGTCGCCAAGTTTTACAGCGGCTTAACGGCCGGCCTGGTGAGGCAAGCCACGTACACGACCGTGAGACTCGGAATTTACAATCAGATGCAAGATTTCTGGAGGTGAGTCGAGAGAGGGAATATATAGAGAGAGAAAGCAGGGTTGGGAAGTAACTCGTTACTTGTAAACGGACTTACGGTTACAGTTACATTTTTTTTGGTAACTATAACTGAACTTTGTTCCTTTTTCTCCGTCTATAACTGTAACTTAACTTAATTTGTTTGATAACTAGTAACTAATATAACAGTTACTTTACTATTTAACAGTTACTTTGTTTTTATTTCAAGTTTCTAGCAGATAACGCGACGCTAGATAGCACGCGACGCTTGATATCCAATAAGTACATACGGTTATTCTGCCTGCATCTGGAAAACGCGCTATTGCGTCATCTATCTTTATTGTTCATTAAATGTGAAACAAGGATAATATGACGCAATAGCGCTGATAGTCCCCTCTCCGGACTCCGCAACTTGTGTCTCTTTCAAAAAATTGTACGCCTATTCGACATCTCCGTCGCGCGTCGCCAGACCTTGTTTGTCAACATAACCTGCGATCAGCGCTGCGTGGTTTCAGTTATATAAAAAAATTCAAGCAATAGATAAAACATCTCAATCTTCGGAGAAGGATTGTAAAATGCCATGGCCAGCATATGCAGAAATATTCGAGTTATTGTCAAATACATCAAAAACTCGGAAACAAGAACAACTGGGTATTTCTCCGCCCAGTTGTTATTAATAAAGTCTTAAAGAACAGATATGAATTGCTTATTCAGATTAATGGATCAAACTTGTAAAAATTATATACAATAAGGAGGAATATATAGTAGTCAACAAACGACTTTTATATGACATAAAACTGGAGGAATTCACACAATTGCGAAATTTAAAATAATAGCACGATTATTGTAAAAAAGTAACTGAAAAGTAACGACTCGTTACTTTCTAAATAACTGTAACTGTAACATGTTGTGTTTTGAGGGTCAGTAACTTGTAACCTGTAACTAGTTTTAACTTTTTCAATGAAATGAAGCTGTAACTTCTACTAGCTAAGATAGATAATTCTACAAAGTAACTTTTCCCAAGCCTGAGAGAAAGAGAGGTAGGAGGAGGAGGAGAGAAAGAGAGCGCAGGCATCGCATACGAATACGAAATTGAAGCAATCAAGTTAATTGAGCCGCACGGTTTCAGCAGCACAAACCGACGTGCTTTCATGCATGCGATTTTTCTTTTTAGACAGAGACGCGTCAGCTCGCCCAGTTTCGGTGTTCTCGCGCTCATGGCCGGGACTGCTGGTGCTACGGGAGCCTTTGTCGGGACCCCAGCCGACGTAGCTCTCGTGAGGATGACAACAGACGGTAGATTGCCAATAGGTCAGTACATGAAATATCTTCGTCGTGTCATTAATTGATTTCCACAGCCGACAGAATCTACCTGAAGAATCTGTTTTCTTTTCTTTCTCTCTCTCTCTCTCTCTCTCTTTCCCCCCCCCCCTCCCTTATAATTCTTCTCTCTCTCTCACTCTCTGATGCTTTCAGAACAACGACGAAATTACAGGAACGTGTTCGATGCGTTCGAGAAGATAATCAAAACGGAAGGAGTATTCGCACTCTGGAGAGGAAGCACGGCCACGATGGCGAGAGCCGTTGTCGTCAACGTCTCGCAATTGGCGACTTACAGTCAAGTGAAATATTTGATAGCGACACGACGTACGTTTCCCCACCGTCCCTCCGTCGCATCTCGCTCGGCGCCGCGCTGTTTCGCCTGCGAGGAGATTCGAGAGAGCTTTTCGAGAATCCACCTGAACGCGTGTCCTTTGTACAGGACATCGCCTGAACCGCGCGGCGCCGCTTGAACTTCCCCGCGGAAAATAATTCGCGACACTTACTCCCGCAGTGAACGTGCCGGAAACCATAGCCCTGCACTTTTACGCGTCGATGGTGTCCGGCTTCCTGACCACCTTCAACTCTATGCCCTTCGACATCACCAAGACCAGGTTAGCGATTGCGATTGGGATCCTTTGGGGCGAATACCGCACGAAGTAGTCCATCTAACGAGAGCTTTTTATGTGTGTGTTTGTGGGGCGGGGGTGGTTTCCGTAGAATACAGAACATGAAGAGCACCAGCAAGACACCAGGCACCATCGCAGTCATGATGTCCATCGCGAAAACCGAAGGGATAGGATCTCTTTGGAAGGGTTTCTGGCCGACCTACTGCAGAATAGGCCCGCATACCGTGTTAACTCTCGTCATCAACGAGCAATTAATGCACTTCCTGAGAGAGCTGTACGAGCGATGACGAGCGGCGTCGACACAGCCGGGAAATAACGCTTTCGCGCACACTGTACTTGCGTCACGCTGCACTCGCAATCGCAAAAAGACACGGCGTTTGAGACGGAAGAGCAACGACACCCGCTCCTTGTCTCAGTCGCGTTATTCGTCATTCGCGCTAATCAAGTTGTCTATCGTGGCCCGACTGACTCTCTGTCGACGCAATTAATGACGCTTCGCGCACAACTCGGTGGGAGAGTTGTGGCGCCGGCCGACGTTCAGCGGACGTCGAGCGGAGGTTCAAGCCGCCGCTCGGGACCCGTTGAGAGCCGGCCGAAAAAGCCTCCGGCTTCGTGGATTAGAACGACGCAGGCCGCTCGCTTGGTAGCTTGGTTCCTGGCCTCGGCAGGCCGCACGAACACGAGTCTCGTACAAGCTCCGTGGTCGTCGATACTCGTAAAGGTACCATAAAAACACCGATGGCGACCGTTACGTTCCGATGGATGGGACGGTGCGTGGCGCGAGTCGACACATTGGCGGCAGCCAAGGGCTCACCTCGAAGCCGAAAGTTTCACGAGAGAGAGAGACGAGCTAACACGGACGAGGCACGATCGACGTCGTCGTGCGTCGTCTCGTCGCGTCGCGGCGGTCCAGCTTCCGGGATCTCATCTACGACTCGAGATATAGCGCGAGTGTCACGATCGAAAGTCATTACCCGTCGATTGATCTCGCGAGCTCTTACCCTGGTCACGTTCGTCGTCGCCGCGCGTCGGCGGAGAGCGTTTCCTACCCGGAAAAGTGTACCGATCGGACGGCAAGAGGGAGACGATTCCGAATCGGAAGTGGCCAGCTGAAGGACGGGAAATCCGAACTAGCCACGTCTCTCTCTCTCCCCCCCTCTCTCTCTCTCTCTCTCTCTCTTTCTCCCTTTCTCTTTCTTGTAGCTCGAGCACGCGCCGCATCAGGCCTGCCGAAACGAGCGAGCTGGCGACGCGTTGGGTAACTTTTCAGGAATCGTTAGAACACGAAGTGTAAGAAGAGACGCAGCGACCTTCTTCGACGTCTCCATCGGGGGGTCGTTTGTTCGAGCACGTGTGTCGAGACGGAATCACGGCCACGTGGGCGAGAGAGAGAGAGAGAGAGAGAGAGAGAGAGAGAGAGAGCCAAGAGGCTTTCGTTAATTATCGTTGGCCAGGTGCAATTATAACCGGCGAAGTCCAGCCGAGATACCGAGAAGTACCCAAAATCTACAGAGAGAAAGTATGCTTTCACAACGAACGGCTGATAAACTTGCCGACGATCTGTCAAGAGTGCTCCAGCGACGGTGGACGAAGGAATGCTCTCGTAGAGGCCGGCGCGGCGGGAATATTTCGCCTGGAGATCTGTTGATTGAAGTTTTCGGGATTATTACCGTCGTCACTACCGATCGCCGCGCGCTGCTATTTCCCTCGAAAGGTTACTTCGACGAATTTCTCGTCACAGTCGAGATGGTCAATGGCATGAAGATATCTTTTCGTATTTTTCCAAATACGCTCGCTCCGAGTACTCGCGGTAAGTTGATAAAGTAAGCAAGAGACGAATAATGGGATTTCGTCGTTACGACACGACAGTCGAACTACGACGAGCGTCTTGCGCTTATCAACTCTTCAATCTGAAAGCATGCAAGCTCTCTTCCTCTCCCTTTGTGTATGTGTATTGTGCGCGCGCGTGTGTGTGTTTTAGTAGTTCTTTCGAATTCTCGCTACACGCGAGATACTCGAGAGCGCTCCGAGTTGCCGCGCACCCGAGACGCGAGGAATATCCTTCGGCTTCGGGTGATGCCGTTCGTTCGCCTTGTCTCTCATGTTCGTCGAGTCGCGCGACGCGCCGGGGAACGCGTTATTTTGATCCGCTGGGGTATCCGTGGCCGTCAACAACGCGCGGTAGCGCGAGCGGCTTATCGCCGCGATATCGCTTTCTCGGCCGCTCGCTCGGCTTCCAGGCGGCCGTTTCGACGTAGCCGGTAGCCGAGGTAGCTAGCCGGGCAAGGCGCGGCCTCGCAATCGGGTGTCCTCGTCGATTGTCACACGTGTGTGGAAGGTAACGCAAGCACCGATAACGCGTCCCTGGAAGCCGCGCTCGTGAGATAACGGCGGAATCGAGCGGCGAAGAAGGAACGGAGAAGAAGCGCGGCGCGCCCGAAAATCCCGTCGATGACGGACGGCGAGAGAGCTGATCTCGCGCGAGATCGGCGGCCTCGTTTCTACGGATTCGCCGTGCGATCTGAAATCCCCGTTCGCCGCGGCGTTATCCTCGCGACGAGTCCCGTTCTCGCCCGCGACGCGTATTCCGAGCGTCAGTTCGCGACGAGACGAGAGGAGACTCGCGAGGAGACGGTTCGGCGGCTCGTGGATTTTCAGAAAGGATTTCGAGATTCCTGCAGCCTCGCAGGAAGAGCATATCGCGAGCAATCGCCCGACAGAAAGATCGCTCGCGTTGGAGAGTAGGGTTGCCAGATGCGGAATGATTATTTCCGGGATTATTTTCAAGCAACGGCTGGAAAATAGGTTGCCAGAGGATTCTGGTTAAATTTGAAAGTTGGAAGTACACGCTCTTGCATGAAGGCATAATACACAATGCGCAAAGAAATTAACCGAGAGAATTAGAATCCTCATTTCTATTGCCACGAAATTGAAATGAAAGACTCTGATCGCTTCATTTTCTTATGTGTTGTGTATTATGCCTTTGTGCAAAAGTGTGTGTGCTTCTCGCTTAAGACGAAGAAGGTTATGCTTCGCAAATCAATTGACCCTGCTAGATTTAAACTCTGGTTATTTTAATCACTCTTACGACTTATCTGAAAAATAGAACAGGACAGAGAAACGCTTCGAAACATTTGTAGCGGTCCGCACCCGACGTTACCTTTCCCCTTGTGTCGTTTTCTTCCCTCTCCTCCTAACACAGAGCGAGAGAGAGAGAGAGAGAGAGAGCGCCTCACTCACACAATAGCTCTGTCCTCTAATGTAGTCTTCAGCGCGCTCATAAGGATGCGCGGTCCATCTATACAAGTCTATGGTATTTTTTACCACGCGAATGGCTTAGTTGACATTAATTTTCTCAGGTGACACGTCGAAAAATTCGACCCTATAAATCGCAATGGCCGCTCTCAGGTTTCTCTCTGGTGGCAGTTATAAATATGAATGTTATGATTCTGATTTTGTTTGAAGTACTAATTTTCCGGGACAGAAGATTAAATCCCTGGATCCCGGGAGCAAGCTTAAAAATCCCGGGACATTCCCGGAAATCCCGGCCATCTGGCAACCCTAGCTGGAGACTTGACGTCAATTTCCCGACGCACTTGTCTCGCCTCCGCCGTCTAGTTCCGCTATTGGAAGCAAAAATAGCGCGCGAACTTTGGCGCAGGATCGTGTGTACGTGAACCTGCCGTGACGAGGATCAGCTATTCGTGATTTCATTATTCATTTCATCGCAGTTCTTTCGCCTGGTTTCGGCTGGTGGTAAACGCTCTCGAGGACGAAACTTTCTCGAACACTCTCGGAGATACGATACCCCGGTGAACGTTCGACGAACTTCACGCGGGCTCAACGCTGTCCTTCCCGGCGGATCTTTCCAAGAAGCGCAAGGCGAACGCTAACGAACGCCACGTACTCGTTCTTCGAGGCTCGGGTCGAATCTCCGTCGGCCTCGCCTCAGCCGCGTAAACGAGCCGATTCGTCTGACTCCGGTTCCTATCCAGCATCTGCCGGTGTCGTAAACGAATATAGACCCGGCCGGATCTTTTGTCATCCGTGACGCATCGGGGAAAGTCAATATCCAAACGATCCCCGCTTCATCCGGGGTGCGGCCGGCCCGACGATTCCGCTGGAGGATCCTCGCGCGCGCGCGCGCGCGCGCGCGTAATGGCCGCTACGTGACGAGGGGCGGCCGCGCGGCAGTCCTTCTTCATCCCCCTCGGGCCGTTTTGCATAATACACGCATCGCGAACGCCGGAGTCGCTCCTCGCCGAAAGCTGAACGCTCCAGATTTGCACGACATCAAGTCAGAATTCTGCCGCGCCGTGAGAAAAACTCCCTCTCCCTCCTTCCCCCCCCCTCTCTCTCTCTCTCTCTCTCTCTTTCCATCGCGCGACGACGATTCGCCGCGTATCTCACGTGTCGCTCTCGTTTCCACCGCCGTCCGTCGCGAGGTCGGTGAAAACCGCGGGTGGAGGCGCGCCCGCGGCGAACAAAGTTGTGCGACGGAAAGAGTGGCAAGTCCCTGTTTCATGACTCTTCGCGGAATAATCGGCGCGCCTCTATGCGCGCTACCGGGAACACTCTTTCTCTCTCTTTCTCTCTCTCTCTCTCTCTCTCTCTCTCTCTCTCTCTCTCTCTCTCTCGTGCTCGTTTCGCCACGGACGAGCTACGTGTACGCGCGGTCGTGCGATCGATATATATATATCTATGGATCCGTTTCATTAACCTGAGCCGCGCACCCTGCGCTCTCGCGCAAACTTCCTCGGCCTCCAAGAGCCCGACAGCTAGTGAAATGTTATTCTTCCGCGTGCGATGAATAGAGGCGCAGGCCATGAGACACACGGAGAGGCTCGCGGGGTGGAGGACGGGGGGGAAGAGCGGGCGGCAGGGAAAACGGTTTCTCGCCTGGCGGGACCATGCGTCTTCGGGGTTAACCGATCCCGAATGTTATCGCGTTACATTCGACTACCTGCTTACGTACTTAGCTCGCTCCGCATAGAAATCACCTATTTTAAGATCCTCCTCGCGGCAGCGTGCCGGAGGCACGGCAGGAGGAGGATCGGTCGTATCGATTCGCGTTTCGTTCGTTCGCTCGTCCGCCTCCGCACGCGCGCGCGCGCGCCGTGGGTGGAAAGAGTATAATTAATACGGCAGTTATTCTTAATGGAACACGATGCCCGGCTTCCACGGGAAAATACAAGCCGGGTAGAAGCGCGCGGAGGCTAGCACGAGTGAGACTTGGGTCATTTCCGCGTGTTGCTCGCCGGACGAGGCGACGTAAGATCGCGGAGTA